TACACGCTATAATTCACAGCGATTCACATACTTTATTTATGGTACCTACTGTTCAACTGTTCGCTTGACTCGATTATCTATCTATGCAATTCTATCTTTTTCGCTGGCTTTATTTGCCGGGCTTATAAGAGGGCGTCTGGAACAAACTAGAGTTGCCAGAAAAATTCATGATCCTTCGAGAAACTCCAGCGCGCATGCTCCCAGCTTTGCGTGACTTCCGCTGTCGTAACAATATTGAAGAAAGAAAGATTGCGGTATACTTACAAAACTTTAACTGTTACATCCTCGAAGAATGATTTAAAATGATGATCGTAAAAGTAAAAATTATCCCTATAATACCTTTCTTAAATAAATTATGAAAATTTTCTATAATTCTCTACTTATTAAAGTGCAATTCTGAATTAATTCTTCTTCTTCACGTTTATATTTAGTAATTAACTGCTTTGCATATATATATATCACAGCTTCTGGAAATAATAATGATAAATATATTCGAAAAGAAATTTCATGTGCTAATTAAAGATGTTCTTTTCTTCTTGGAACTTACATATCTTACAAAACAGTGTATGTTTTATTTAGAGCAAAGCACACAACAGGCTATATGCAATCTGTCCACCACATAGAGTACAAAAACTAAAAGATTAGTCGTTTTTACTTTAAAGCTTTATTTATTTCACACTAGATGGCTGTGGTGTACGGTTTCCCAGTTCGAGTGAAAGTGGACTTTTCTTAGGAATCACGTGCTTAAATTGATCATCTATATAAAACATACTGCAGCAAATGTTTTTGTCTCTTTTTGGATTGCTGTGAGAGTAGGAAGTATGAGCGGAACGTTAAGGTGAACGTGTTGATTGTTTATATTGTAATAGTAGTTACTGTGGTAGAGATGTTAGTAAGTGAATTATGAATATATATGAAACGACCGTTGATTTCAGATAATCTTAACCAACGTTTCGCTTTTACAATTTCGTCAGGACAAGGACATTAGTAATGAACAGTGCCGATTCCATAATTATGAAATTGGGAGGCGGAGGGGTGGCAGATACTAGATGGGTCCGGGGTGAAGTTTTTGTTTTTAATGTAAAGAATATATGGGAAAAAAAAACACCTGTGGAAGATAAATTAAGAGGCTCCGAGGGCTGACCAGAGATTTGATAATATTTATTGGGTGGGTTTTCCTTGTACTTGTAGTAACTGAAGACATCGTGTAGTGTTTACTAACTTTTGTAGCGAAAGTTTTAGGAGAGGCAGACAAATTTCAAGGGTAGTGCCAGCCACCTTTTTGCTTTCCCTTGGGGTTGCCACAGATAATGAAGTTTGGTAATGCAGTTTGATTCAAAACACTAACAGATAAGGACGTAAAGTCGAAACGTTGACCAAATAGAAAAAAAAACAACAACCGTGAAAACGACTTTTTGGAGTTTGCGGTTATTTAACTTGTTTATAATTTATTGGCACTATACTCCAGTAAGCATTTCGTAGCTTAAAAAGTGTTAGTAGCTCACAAGTCTACCAATTGATATACGAAGTGCTTAGATTTCTTTATTTTTTTTTTACTTGCATCTGTTTTAGATTTTCCTTATTTTTCATTCTAAACGTTAAACATGTTCAAACTTCGTGTCCCATGATTCTTGTATTGTGTGTGTGCTTTCCAGTACTTCTCTTCACTTTTCAGTGTCCGTATTTTGACGTATGAAATATCCAACATTCTTTATTGTCTGGTGCAAAGGCGTTGTTCATACTATTAATTATTCTTAATCTTTGATTATTACGTTTTTTATGGGTCTTGGTCAGAAGGGATGCCATTGTTCTTAAACTTTTCATTAGGAAATGTATATTGCAGTGTGGTATTATTGTAGTTTGTTTTTAATATATTAACTTATTATTTGCTGTAGCTAGTATTGACATGATGTAATAATGATGCCTGTAAATTGTCTAGATTTGACATCTAAAACTTTCTAGTCTTGTTTGTGTGCAAATTTTATAAAATCATGAGAGAGTAGTTGAATTGGTTAGTTACTAAGTCTGTTAGTGTTAATCAGCATGTCTTGAGCTTCTGTTACACTTGGGTACATCTACAAGAGAAAATTTATCAAATAAGTGATTGTTTAGATTTATTTGCAAGTTAAGAAATCCTCCTCCTCCCCTTCCTCCACCAAAGGAACCCTCTCACTGTTCTACTCAAATCTAGTTTGAAATGCTCTTTGAAAGTTTCTATAATTGTGGCAGTAAAAATATATATATACAGAAATTTCCCATTTTGTTAGGTGGGCTTGACTTTGTATTTGTAACAAATGCTTTTTTGTTTTTTTTACAATAGTAGTGATATGTTCTTCCTCATTCTACACATTTTTTCATGTTTTGAAAAATTACTGTTTTCGTGGAGTGTTTAAATGTTGAAAAGTCAATACACATCTGATATTTTGGGAAAAGAATATTAACTTCAATATCCTTCAACCTAGTGTAGCTGTAAATTTATTAAATCTGATATGTTGTATAACCTTAGCCAGTATTTTAATTGAAAGTTTGTAACATTAATAAAATTGTGTTCATATGTTTGAATTCAACACCAGTGAAAGTACAGTATTGTATTGATAAATATAAAAAAAAAAAAAAAAAAAAAAAAACTTTTTAGATGCTGTGGTTGGTATTAAATATAAAATAAGTTGTGGAATGTTTAGTAAATGGATTAAGAAGTTGGAATCAACATTATTTTACTTCTTACATTGGTATCATTACGCAGTGTAATGAAATGTTTGTGAGATGTATAATCCATTAAATATTTGTTGTACATCTATTGTTTAGGTTATAGACTTGTTATGGTTTGTGTTTTGTTTATGTACCATGGGATTCTGTAAACTGGACTATCTAAGTGCAGTTATTTACATGAAACACTTTATATGATATAAGAAAGATATAAGATGTTGAAAAGCCCTCTAACTATATTTTCTACAGCATGGGTAAAATGATTAACAAATGATACCAGTGGTGGATCTTAGTCTGTTATTTAACTAAAATTTAGGGAAAAAAAAATTCTGAGCCATTGTTTGGAAATGTGTGTAATAAAAAGTTAACAAAAGTAAAATTCAACTTAAACGAAAACTCTTTTGGACAAACGTTGAATCATTTGTATATCTTCAAATCATTTTTCTTTAAAGGACAAATACTTGTAAAGGTAATCTGAAAGCTGTTTGCTAGTACAACTCTTGTATTAGTACCACTATATGTATGTATGTATGCATTCTTATACTGAGGCTTGGATATCTTCCCTGCTCCTCCACAAGAGGGACCCCCCCCCCCTCCTTCAATTTTCTATCCAAATCTGGCTTGAACTAGTATTTACATGAAAAATTATTGGTTTTGGCATATATAAATGTACATGAAGCACTACATTTAGAACATATCTTGTGAAATAGTGATGTGGCAAATTTATAAATACATTGATCATTTTACATTGTGTAAGTGATTACATGTACATTGAATGGATTGTCTTGCCAAACACTGCTTGAAAAAGTCTTAATAGAATTTACCTAAACTTTTTATACAAAGCACTGAATGCTGAAAAATTAATTTTTATTAGTTTAATGTAAGCTTAATCTGTGAAAGTGCTGTAGGAAGTAAGAAACTGTCTCATGTCTAGAAAAAGATTGATTTCATTAATTTTTTGTACTTAGCCCTTTACACTAAGGTTCATGACAGGCAAAAACAATTATTCAAAACAATGTAATATTTGGACTACCAGTAGTCAATGACATAGAAATAAGTTAACTGTCTGGATATCTTCATGGCACTATATTTATGTGTTGTATATTATTCTACTTAGTTTTTTGTCAGTCACAAGTACGCATCCATAATGTTTTATTTAATATTTTATCTAATCACTAATGACTAACTTAAATGTTTTAAATTTTGTAGAGAAGGGCTTCTGTTTGGAATGGGTAATCCACTATTGGATATCCTGGCACATGCAGATGAGAAGTTTCTTAAAAGGTATGTTTATTAAAATCTTAAATCTGTTGTATTTTAACCCTTTTTATACCTCACAAGGCAAACACTTATTGTAAATAAATTTGATCTGTGTTTTTATAATAAGTATACTGTGTGAAAGTTTCTATTTGAATAGAATTTGTTGTTTACAGTTAAGGTAGAATTACAGATTTTGCTAAATTTTATATTTTCTGAAAATGAACTACTGTTTCCTTAACATAGTTTGATTTTTACTTTTTTCTAATACAAACATGAATTAGGAAAACAATTTGAAATTCTAGTATTTCATTTCATATTGAATCTCACGTCAGTTAATGATGTGATTAAATTTTTATTATCAATAAAGATTATTGAATCACTACATTTTTGTTACATTTGTTTTTTTATTCCATTTTGTGTTGTTTACATTTTAACATACAGGTATGGCTTAAAACCAAATGATGCCATTCTTGCAGAAGAAAAACATCGTCCAATGTAAGTTACTCTTTGGTTTTATTTTAGTGGAAATGGATTGAAAAACCTAAATTAAGGCTGATTTGGAAACATGTTGGTATCTGCTGTGAATTTCTTAGTCAACATTACAGAAATGTGATTTTTATGAGGTTCTGTATGAATTGGAAAGGAGCATTTTTATAAAATACTCTTTATAGCTAGTTAACTCCATATATTGTTTTTTTTTATTGATCTTGTTGCTTCCTGGCATCACAATTGTTATGCATGTTTTAGATCACTGTAGGTCACTTCCTGATTAAAGATGGCCGTATGTTTCCTGCATGTGATAAAGGCTATTCATTGTTTGAAATTGGAATATACACACATTTGTCACCAATACACAGTTTGATTTTCATGCCTCTTAAAGTAGTAATTTATCTCTTAACATTGTATCTTGGTTTGACCTTTATATACTTTGAACAATTTTTAAGACATTTTGAGTTTCCTTATAGACATGTTAAGAATATAGAATCTGATTCTGTTTATAGAAGATTTTGTAAATACTTGTTCTTCTAGAGGACATTGTAGATTGTCTTTTTAAAGATTAAATTTGCATATAATTGAAAGTATCTCTTCTCAACACAGGTATCATGAAATGATTGAAACCCTTCATGTGCAATACATAGCAGGAGGAGCTACACAGAATTCCATGAGAGTTGCACAGGTATGTTTTAACAGTTGTAGTAGAACAGTTTAGGCTCTTGGTTAAATTAGACATTTTAAGATAGTTTGATGTAATTCAGTGCATAGTGAAAACAAAATGTACTATATTGCTGAGTGATTTTTAGGAATATTAGTATAATTATTATGATCTTATGGTTTAAAGCATGCTATCCATGTAGATTGGAAATTAACATTAACCCAGTTATCAAGAACTATTTAATATACGTTTTTACTTATAATGATTTGAATGTATTGATTCAGATGTTGAGTACTTGCTATTGGCAGTATTTTCAATCATAATCCTAATACACTATGAGATTCGGCTAGCATAGGATATTTAAGTTAATCCTAAATCCTTGTATTTAGCTATCAGTGCAAAATCTTCCTAAACTTCATCAAAAGAATGATTAAAGTATTAAATATTCTTAACAACTATTTTCAATGTTTTAATTTAAATGTTAGCTAAACGGTGCATAAGATCAAGTTTATAAAAGTAGTCCTAGAATACCTAGAATGTTTACAATGACAATGTCAAGAATCTAGTAGCTTCAACTATTATCGAGGCATGGGTAAATCGATATAATTATAAATAATAGTAATTAGTGAAGTTTTGGATTAGAAGTAGGTTACATATTTAGTGTGTGAATGCCAAGTAGTTGATTTAGAGAAGATTGATAGAATGAAATTATTCGGTAGGAGTTAGTGTTTATATAAGTTAATCAGTAAGTTAGTCAGAATTTTTTACCAATTAAGGAAATTTTAATGTTATTAGCTTATTAGGCCTACAGTAGTTTCAATTTGTAATTTTTTTTGCGAACATCACATAAACTTGAATCAAAACTGAATGTAGCCAGTAGCAAACATTATTGAAGAAATAAATTCTTTATCAATACATGGACAGGGTTTCACGTTACTTGTACTAAATAATTCAAATTGCCTGAATACAACTTTCTTGCACATCATGGAACACCATCATAACTATTAAAGTATGAGTATTAAACATTGTAGCATAACTTATTTGGAGTAGTTGTATTTAAAAATGGGAAGTTTAACTTGTATTAAGTGTTCTATCATCAAAATTGTAAACTTAGACATGATTAATAATGCTTGTATGTAAATTTAGTTGATATGTTTTGTTGTGAATTTGTTTTCAGGGTGTTCTGATGGATGAATGTTTGACAGTGTGAATAAAGCCTTGATGAATTGGCAAAAGCACATTTTCAGTATAACTAATGAGCAAAGCTCTTAGTTTTTATTGGCATTTATTGTAAATGGAAATTTAAATTTGAATAAATATCAACCCATTTCTTGTGTGAGTAAGGCTTAACTACTGTTTTGAAAAGGAAAACTACATCTTTTTGACATGTAATCATATTGATTGGGTTACTGGTATGATTCAAATTATGATAACCTAAATGTGTTATTTTTGTACTTGTTACAATTAGACTACTTGCTAATTATTTACCCAACTTACCAGTTAATGTAGTAACTAAGTATTTTTGAATCGGCTAGTAATACCCCCACAGTTTAATATCATCTGCAGAATTTACTAATAATGCCCCTGTCAATATGATTCACTTAATCATATGCATATGGGTGGATACTGGTGTGTCAAAGTTGGCCTGTCATGATGTTTTTATATCCATTCAAAATTTAATTGAATAACTTTATCAATGTATATCAAACATAGTATGAAAGTTTTATATTATCTAAGTTTTAATTTCAAAATAAAACTATTAAATAAGTTTTCAGTCTTTACTTCTCTGTATCGCATGACTCATCTAGCCTGTTTTCTCCTTTTTAGATTTTATTGATCCCTTTTGGCTTCCAGAGTCTAACCAATTAAATATAGACTATAAATTTTAACAGGTCAGGATATAAAATGTGAACTCCCCACGTATTTGATTTTTTTAAGATTAAATTTGTTCTATCTATCATTGTAGCTCCTTCCATCTGTCAGATTTGAATGAATTTATCTGAACCATGTGTCAATATTTGAATGACTTTAACACCAATAGAAAGACCAGATTTTAAACCTATGGGGCCCATTTCATTCATGTGTTTAGTGTTGTTGGTCACAGTAGAGTGTCTAGTAAAGTCATTACTCTAAGCAGTAACAAAATTGTTTTTAACCTATTCATAGCTTAATTAGAAAGCCAGTTAAATTGTAGTAGTTTTGAGACATTCTGTTCTAGTGCCTAATGTATTTTCATGTTCTAAAATGTATATTTGAAAGCTATGCAAATTATTTGGTGGGCAATCAACATAGTGAGAAATATACTGAAGCACAGAATGCAAATGTAAAATGCCTAAACTTGGATGTAAACACTACATTTTTTTGTTTTTGTTTGTTCTTTATTGTATATTATATATTTATTGTATATAATTTTAATAAAAGTAACTAAATGCAAAAATTGTGAACACTCAAATTATAAAGAAAATGAAAGCAAATGTGAAACGATTGATACCTAAGGCTGTTAGGATAAATAATTTTAATTGTTTACTAGAATATTTAGTTCACTTTTCAAATTTTCATACCAATTATTTTACTATAGTTAGTATAGAACAAAATAAGCTTTTACCAAAAAAAAACAAATTGCTGATACTTCTGAAAATCCAAGTACTCCACTTTTCATACTCAAAATAACTAGTAACAACCTCAGAGTAAACAATTATTAAGGTAAGGTTTACCTTTAGTGGGTTCATGTTGACTCTTTTATGACATTGTATTTTAGTAAATGATTTTCAGCTTCTTTTTTTGTACACAATTATTCCCACTACAGACTAATTGGCCTTTAATTATTATTATTATTATTATTATTATTACCCTTTTCAAAAATAGAATTACATGACCACCTCTCCAATTCTGAATTGACCTACAAAAAATGAGATGACCACACATTAAAACTTTGGAAGCAGGAACATTGTTTGGTACTGATGCTTTATTTGTTTTTAATCTTCTTATTACCACTAGGGGATTATCAACATGATTCAAGTTAATTCCAATATTACCCATACTCGGTCAAGATTATTCATAACATCACTCTTAAATTCAGTAGAAGAAAAACACTTAAGCTTAGCCATCTCGATGATCATCAGAAAATCTTTGCCCTCAGTATTGTCTTACACTGCATATAGTAGTGAAAGAAATGAAACTTTAAAAGCTTCCAATAGTATAATATTTACATGATTGTGTATGTGGACTACTATAACATGTAACAAACTGAGTGCTTTTTGTGATAGTTAAACTTTATAGTGAATGAAATGGCTTTAAACTTAAGATTTCATTTTCTTATGAATACTTGTATTTAGTCATCCATGTAAGCTTTGATACCCAGAATTTCACTCTGCCAGATGTATTGCTTCAGTATCTTGAACTTCATTATTCCTAGCTGAATGCTTAAATTTTCTACTATTACTAACTGATTTCCTGTATTAAATACCTTCTTGGTGGAAGTTGCTTTTCATCTGCCAGTTACTTTAATGTTTTATTTATTCTTTCCTGGGAATACAATTGTTTCACTTCTTAAATGTACAAATCCATGTTAATGGTAAATTGCAATTGAGAAGTGTTTTATTGGTATTATCACCATATATTAGATTTCTTTTGCTAGTTAGTGCTCTAATATCGATGTTTTAATTGTGTAAGAACCTATGTTGAGAGTATTTCATTTTTTTTTCTATACTTCTTTCATTTGTAATATTTTGCTGCTTACCTTCTCCTACTAGTATTTTTAGTTTCATGAAGTATGTATCATTGACTTTAATAACCAAAAAAGTGTGTTTTTTGTTGTTTTAGTAAGCAGTGAGAATGTTATTTTACTTTACCTTAGTGGATTATAGGAAAACCAAATGTTACCACCTTCATGGGGTGTGTTGGAGACGACAAATTTGGTAAGATCCTTGCAGAAAAAGCCAAAGAAGCTGGTGTAAATGTGCAATATCAGATCCATAAAACTGAGGCAACTGGAACTTGTGGAGTTGTTATTACTGAGAATGGAGCTAATAGGTACTGAAAGGTTTTTCACACTGGTATTAGTTTATATAATAGTTCTAGATTTTTTATAAAATATTACAATTGAAACCATTGGTAACATGTTTTAGTTTATTTTTAAAACTACAAAGTTATTGTCCATTTGAAATGCTAGGAAAATGTGACATCTTTTTAATACTGCATTTAATAAGTGAACTTCAAAAAAGAAAAATGTTGTGAAGTTATCCACATGTTTGACTATGAATGTTTGCCATATTTATAATAATTTCTTTCAACAGTGATGATATTTGACCTTCAATAAGTGGTTGATGTGTAGTTACAATAGGCTTCAAAGTTTGCTCTTCAAATTGTGTACATAATTAAAGTAACAATAGCTAGTTCCAAAACACGAGCATTTTATATCTGTTTTTGAATTAATTGAATTTAAAATTTTATTAAATACTATCTGGAGTATCTGTCCACTAGACAGAAGTTATGTAAATTGATGATTAATGAAAGGTTATATTAGGACATAAAGTTGCTTCCCTTATGTCATTGTAAACAAAATACCCATAAAAACTTCAAAATCTGAAACTGCAAATTGGTATGTATCTTTGCATGGACCCAACAAGCCTTCATGCCAAATTTGGTGAAGATCAATCAACAGTTGATTAAGTAGTGGTAAAAAATGCCCATAAAAAGTGCAAAACACAAAATACAAAACAAAATTTGTATGTACCTCAGCATGGACCTATTGAACCTCCATACCAACTTCGGTGTAGATCCATCCACATCCTGCAAAGTAGTTACATGGACAGACAACAGACAGTACTATTATTTATATAGATGTCAGCATGGTGAGAAATTGTTGCTGTATTGAAAAACTAATTGTTTGAAACAAGATGTTACTTATCTTGGTAACTTTCAGCATAGATTTTCAGTGTTAAAGAAAGGTTTGAAATAATTTTTAAAGACTGTCAGAAGTTTAAGTATATGTATGGGTGTTAATGTGACAGTAGGTGTCTGTGACCTGTTCGGGATAAATCTGAACAATAAATGGATAACACTCACTCCACTTGTTTTAAAATAATATATTCAAAATCAGTTAAACCTATGTACAAAACTTCTTTACACTATGGTGATCACAGTTGTAACTTAAACACTATACAGTTATCTTCTTGTCAAAAGTCTACTTAGGCTGATTCAATTACTTTATAATCCAGTTGACAAACAAAACTACTTTTATCACAGTATTATTGGTGAATAATTTACTTAGCTACCTCGTGGATTACCACAGTTGTATCCTGAACTTCCAATAATTGTCTTCTTTTTGTCAAAGCCCACACAGGCAGTTTCAATTAGTTTAGAACACCCTTATCTTTATCAAACTGTTAATCTCACTTTAGAATATCAACTGTTAAGGCTTTTCACTCCCACAGTGGCTAACTTCACATTTTCTAACTTTTCTCTGACTGAACTTCTCTTTCACTTAACTTTACTTTTACTCTGCTCCTGCTTGTTTGGTTGCTGCTACTTATATGTTCATCACTAAGGCCTCTAGAATTTTCTATAGCCTTGACATCAATAAATTGCAAATGCAACGTATGACTCTTACAGAGTTACGTAACCAAACTTGTTGCAACTATCGCTTTTAAAATAATTGCTTTTAACTTTCTTGTTATATTGGTTTGTTTGTAGTTAAGCACAAAGCTGCACAATGGGCTATCTGTGTTCTACCCAACACAGGTATTGATACCTGGTTTCTAGTGTTTAAGTTCATAGACATACCACTGTGGACCTCTTGTTATGAAAAAAAACTAAATGATCATGAAGTATTAACTCACAAAATATATTAATCAATAATATATACACTAGACAGTTGCATATCCAAGAAAGACTACATACCAAACTGACTGTTTATTATGGTTTTGGTTTTAAATTTATTTTGTTAATTACCCAATACCTTGAATTAATATTTTCCATCTTTTAAACCACAGTGTAAGTTTTTGACATTATTTGTTGTTGTTTTTTTTATTTGCACTGACAAAATCTTTATACATGGACAGGCTGATATTTAAACAGGTAAATGGCAGTGACATTTTAAAACTATTAAATGGGAATCTTCGTCGAGTTCTGTGATTGTTTTGATGTTATGTACAGTACAGGGAAATGTGACTGACAAGGCTTTGAAGTGGATATGTATTCCTAATTGGTTCTTGTATCTTTAAGTGTGATTGGCTCAGACGTTTGGGAATACTGCAGTCTAATTAGCTAGATTTTGAGTAGTTCATCAAACCCAAGTGTCTGAGAGCTGGTTTTCTGTTTTACTGTTTAAAACTTCCTTATGTTTATCTTGTAGTTTGGTGACATGTTCAGCAAAGTTTAAGTTCACAAAGAAAACTGTCTTTGTTTTTAATGTATTGTCCTAAAACTCTCCTCCTAGTTTCTGCAATATTGGTTTTCCACAGCTACATCAGGTCAGAAGAACCACAGGCCTTGTATGGAAAATTGTTACAAAGGGTTGATTCAAATTGAACCCTCTTTATGTGTAGATCAAAGTTTGCATGTTAAAACCTTTTCCAGAGTTGCATTCAGAATTTAATTAAATTACTTAACTATCAATGTATATGAATGAACTTTGCATCAAAACATAATTAATAAATAAAATTTTAATATTTACACAAGTTCCTAATTTTATAAGACTTTCCATTCTCTGATTTAGTTACAACTCATCATTGGAGTCCAGAATTTAACACAGTTCATTATAATGTAGATATTACTAACACAGTAACTTGTATAATCTTCAATCTTACTTGTTTTCAGAATCATAAGCTACAAAATCAGACCAGTTTGCTTCCCACCTGTTGCATCATCTTTCACAAATTGTGACTAATTCTGACATTTATGGATCCTTTATAACCTATAGAAAGGCAAAGTTTTATTGAATTACTTAAATGCTAATTTGTTTTCAGTACAGATTATTCCAATACCATCCTCAGTTTTTGAAAGATTATTTTGCAGTATTCAGGTCAAGCAGCTAATGAAATTACTTCAAGCTCCTCTTGTCTTAGTTAGAAAATCATTTGAATGATAGTTACTGAACATTGTTTGCTTTACATGTTGTTTTGGGTTTTTAGGTGCATTATTTAATTAAATGAAGAAATTTAGTGTTGTAGTACCATCATTATAAATAAACTAAGCTTAACTTTCATCAGTAACTTATGGCAAAAAAATGAGGTCAAAGGTAGGTAAATTCTTGCTTTTCGTATTTTTTATTTACTGCTATAAAAGTAAATAATTGTTAATAAGTTAAACATGTTAGGTTAAATAAGATAAGAATTAATAATATTCTTCATGAGGTATGCTCGTGAGGAGCTTGTACAGTCAATATGGTAACGTCAGCAGCTTGTTTGCCAAGTGATTTACAACTTGTGTGGTAGCAGTATTATTAGTTAGCTTTGCTTCAAAGGGTAATAAAATTTAGTAGAAACAGATGTCTACTGTTACAAGCCTTAAGCTGTTTGGATAAACAATTTGCAGTCATCCTAGAAAGGAAAAAGGATAATTTAAATTTTTTTATTTTATGGTTAGAAGTTTTTTAAAATTGACAGTCAGTATATTTATGGAAGAGAAAATAACAGAATGTGAAGTTTTTACTGAAAAATAACCAGGAGGTTTTAGAAATTATGTAACCTAAGATTAAAAACCTTTCTTCATCTGAACATTTAACATAATAATCACTTTGCATTTGGAGCAGTTAAAACTGGCTCTATATAGTCATGAGCAAGTCTTTAGTAACAGTACTTAATTAAAAATATTGACTTTTTTGTGTACAAATGACTTCTAATATTTACTGAAAGCTTGCCAAATTTTGTGTAGATACACATACCATATTAAAAAAAATCACAGTATGGAAACTGGTTATATTGTGGTTACAAGGTCAGTTGCATTGACTAATGACCAGATTTGGAAAGTCATTGGGAGGTATGCTTCCCATCTTCTATCCATCTTGCTCTCCAGTGGCCAGGAAGTTGCTGATGTCCAAAGCATTGCTGATTCTCTCAGCCACAGCTCTCCTCATACATCTAGCACTTCTGTTTCTTCCCCTGCCTTCTTGGCCATCAAGTCTCGAGCAGAGTGATCACCTCTTTTCTTTTGGGATGATTGTCTCTATGACTATAATCGCCTCTTTTCACTGGTGGAACTCAAACTTGCTCTTCATCAGTCTGGCAGTACATCAGTTAGACCTGATGATATTCATTATGAAATGCTGTGCCATCTCTCACCTGCCTCTCTTGCTATTATTCCAGTTATTTTTAACCAGATCTGGCAGGAGCATGTTTTTCCTGATGTTTGGTGCCAGGCTATTGTCCTCCCTTTCTCTAAACCTGGGAAGGATCCCAAGATTCCTTCTAATTATTGTCCCATCACTTTGACTATCTGTCTTTGTAAGGTCTGAGAGGGGATGGTTAATGCTTGTCTTGTTAGATTTCTTGAATCAAGCATGCTCCACTTGCCCACCCAGTGTGGGTTCTGTTGACATCATTCAACTGTGAACCATCTGATTTGACTTGAACTGTTGATCAGGGAAGCCTTTCTCAGAGAGAACATCTTGTTTCTGTGTTCTTTAATCTTGAGAAGGCTTGTGACACTACGTGAAGGTATGGCATTTTGCAGGACCTCCTCTCCTATGGATTGCATGGCCATTTACCCATTTTTAATCAGAACTTTTTACTGGACAGGTGATTCCAAGACTGTGTGGGTTCAACTCTCTCCCCTTCCTTTCTGCAGAAACTTGGAGTCCCTAGAGCTGTCTTGAGTGTCACACTTTTTAGTGTCAAAATTAATGCTATCGCTACTCGCCTTCCTCCAACTGTTGCAAATAGGCTCTACGTCCACAACTTCTGCATCTCATGTCAGTCATCGAACATGAGGTTTATTGAGCGGCAGCTTCAGGCTGCCCTCAATCATTTGTTGATGTAGACCACTGCAAATGGTTTTAATTTTTTTTTTCCAAAACTGCTTCCATTCATTTTTGCTGCCAACAGGGTCTCCACCCTGATCCCAAGCTCCGTTTTTGGGGTTTAGCTTTGACATAAGCTTACCTTCATTCCATATGTGTCAAGTGTACAAGGGCTCTGAACATCCTCTGTGTCCTCTCTTCCACATCTTGGGGAGTGGATCGATGTTCTATGCTCAGGATCTATTGTGCCCTCATTCAATCCAAACTGGACTTATGGGTCTTTGGTCTATGGTTCTGCCAGGACCTTGGCCTTGAAGATGCTGGACCCCATTCACCATCTGGGGCTTTTCGCACTTCTCCAGTCCAGAGTTTGTACACAGAGTTCCACGAACCTCCTCTTCACCTCCGTCATTTGAATCTTTCTCTACAATATGCTACCAAACTTTGATCCTTACCACAGCATCCCACATGGGATAGTGTCTTTCTTCCTCAGCGGGCCATGCTCTTTCAGAACAGATGGTCTGCAATTATGAAACTACAATTGTTGATACTTAACTTTATTGTTTTATTGCTCTTTGAATTAATAATCAACTAATAATTAAGCCATAGAAGTTGTAAATCAATCAGCAAATGCATAGCTCATGTTACCATATCGAATTACATAATACACAAGGTGCTCATGAGTATACTGCATGAAAAATGGAAACTTTTTTTTTAATACTACTGATGCTACTACACTAAATTTTTATTTAATTAAATAATGCACATAAGAACACAGATTAATAACATGCAAAAAACAAACAACCGCCTATGTCTATTGTAATTTACCTGGCTAAGTTTCTAAATATTCAATAAGAGCCTTTAAAATTTCAACTATGCTTGTTGATGCAAATATCATTAAGTTTAAAACCAAAGTTTAAGTAGACAATGCTCTGTATGAAAAAAAACAATGTAATAAAATACATCATTTGACAGATTAAATTTTTGAATTCCTATTGGTTATAAATAAGTTTAAAATGTTGGAGTACTAATAGTCAATTTGTGAAAGAGAGGATGTGGCAAGTGGGTCTGATTTTCTAATTTATGGCTATGAAAACAAATAAGATTAATGGCTATAAAAATTATCCTTTGTCTTGGTAATATGTATATTAAAGTAATTTACATTATATTCTGTACTACTTAGAGGCATGATAGATAAGTTACAGAAGAGAGAATACTTGGCAAATGTGCATCACAATTCACATTCCAGAAGAGATTGAGGGTTTCTTAAATATTTCTTTATAAAATTAAGAACATAAACCATGTTTTAATAAGTTATTAACTGTTTTGATGCCAAGTTTATTCGTATACAATGATGGTAAAACAATTTAAGTATTAAATGTAACTTTAAAAGGTCAAGATGCACCCTTTGACCTACCTTATCCCATTGGACCCAAGATTTTGTTTCTAACTGATTGAACATTGAAAGTCATAACATGGAGGTAAACAGAGTTTATAATGTAAAATGCATCACATGACACAATGTGTGTATGTAAGATAATTGTAAAAAAAAAAAAGGACTCTAACATGCCTACTTTGATACACCCATATGCACGGGTTTAACTTCTTCACTTATGTTAAACCAATCGACTATTACGATCATTAGGGTTTTGTCTATTAACATATGTTATTTAATGTTTTAATTCTTTTGCAGGTCTTTGTGTGCTAACTTGGCCGCAGCTAATTGTTTTAGTAAAGATCATTTAGAGAAGCCAGAGAATAGGACATTGATCAAAAATGCAGACTTCTTTTATATTTCAGTGAGTTATGTAATAGCTTTTATATTTAACTGAATGCTTTTTATGTACATTATTTCTATGATTAACAAACATCTTCATTCTTAATTCTGTATGACAGTCTGCTACACACTGTAATTCATTTGAAGAACTTGTGGGTTTCCTGGACTGATTTCTTTAAGGTTCACTTTAGAAGCTAACCATGTAGGAGCAGTACGTTATCAAAAGCCACAAAAAACAAAATATATTTACTATCATGGATTCTTATCTACCAAGGAGTTGTTGGAATTTTACTTTAATTTTTTTTTACTAGATTTTTTTTGCACTATTAATGTCTTTCCTTCCTGATAATATTGGGTCTGTGACCCACTGAGACGTGTAATTATTGTTAGTAAGGCCTAGTGTTTTCAACAATTTTAAGTTGTTTACTTTTAAATGTTCATTTAACATTTTTTAAGGAACATTAATGCTGAATTGAAATTATTCATACATTAAGAACACTTCCTGCATGATGTGTTCTAGAGTCCAGTTTACAAAGTATCTTAAATTTTTTTTTTTTTTCTCACTGTAATTGCAACATGCACTTCCTTCAACTTTCCTTAGGTTATATCAGACATGCTACACTGACATTAGTGTTGGTATTAGATATCTAGTTCTTGTGGTTTTTGTGTTTAGGATTAAGGTAATTTTGCTTTATAGTCTTTCAACTTAGTAAACTGAAATGTGTAAAACAAAAAGTGACTAAGTTAGAAAATAAATAAAAGTACAATATTTTACTTTAGAGTTGGTTATTTTTGTATCAAACCAATTTTAACTCTTAATTTCTATTTTTGTCAAGGGTTTTTTTCTGACTGTCAGTCCAGAATCAATCTTAGAAGTAGCAAAATATGCTTGTGAAGCCAATAAAGTTTTCATGATGAATCTCAGTGCACCATTCCTCAGTCAGTTTTTTAAAGAACCAATGATGCAGGCTATGCCTTATGTTGATATTTTGTTTGGAAATGAATCGGTATGTATGCACAGAAAACATTGCCTGTCATTAGATTTTTTTATGTACCTTTTGCAAAAATGTAAGATCTGTTAATGTATGAAATTGAACATAATTGGTTAGATCTGGAAGATGTGCCACATATGTGTATAATGTCAGATCTACTGACAACAAAATACTAAATATGAATTTTTATGCATGTATTAAAGACCAAACCATGCATAAGAATTTCTATCATAATTAACATTTACTTCTGTGCAGTAACATTAAATGCACAAGAACAAAACACATAGTTAACTTTTAACTTTTATGTGTTTTTTTTTAATACATACAGTATCTGAAAGTTTCAAGAATTTTAATTTTCTGCTTTTCTTCTAATTCATTATAGCTATTGTTTGATTTCTAATTTCTTGTGCCTCCACTTTGAAATTGAACATTTAAGGATTAACTGATTGAGACTAATAAATTAGAAACATTATGTAAAGTTTTTAGTATCAACTTTTCTTCATGTTTTCATGTATTGCCTTACCCAAACAAAAACAATTTGTTAATATTACATTATTAATTAATTCTGATCATTTGTAAACTTTAGATTACTGTTTCTTTGCCACTTAGATTATTAAAATGGCTTGAAATCAATTTTTATTATTTGCTAAAAAAAAATAAAATATCTTATTGGTTTAGATTTCAAATAAACTATACTACAACATGAATTCCTAACGATAACAGTACTTAATAGCATCAATTTCTTCTATGTCAATAAAAAAATTTGATTAAATCTACTTACAAAAAAAAATATTTTCAACTAAGATTTTTTTCTGTTCTTACTGTAGAATATCTAACTCATAATTGAATTAATTTTAAACCAATTTGCTTCTAGTTATTTTTCATAATTTGGAGTGTAATTACTACTGTAAAATTAGGTGTAACTTACTTGTTGATACTATTTATTTAATTTCTGGCATCAGTTTTTGAATGATCAAGCTATCTCTCTCTTATTTTTACACAGAGAGAGAGAGAGAGCTTAAAATAATTAGTAAAAATTACTACATGTTCAAGTACACTCAGGTTAATGATTTTCTTTTTACAAATTCAATATAGTCTTGTTGACAACAGGGACAAGTAAATTTATAATTACACTTGAGTAATGCAGGAATGTGGTCATTAACTCTTGAGAAATAATTGTTGATGACAATTAGGTTTAAAAAATGCATCTTGGCTGTATTTGAGGATACATCATACAAAGTACATTTAACTTATTTTTAATAATCCACGAATGTTTATTCATATATGGCAAGATAATATCTGTATATTTTGTAACTTCAAATTTAAATGACTTACTAAAACTTCTCTTGTTCAGATAATTGCAAAGTATTTTGTCATTAACATAGAAGGGAAAATCCATTTTTATATAAGAATTCTTGGTTACTGCATTTTTTATGCAAAGTTTCATAAGTGATACACATCTTACATGCACAACGAAACAATTTAAACAAGTTTTTAAAGCATTTGGTATGAAACTTAATTTAGAGTACAGTCCAGTAAAACAGTGGTTGAAAAACTGACCACAATTCTTTAAATGACTTTAATGCCGTATGTATGTAGGTGACATATTTACTACCTTTAAGAACTTTAATCAAGCTTCTCAGTTTCTTGAGTACTTGAATAGTAAACATAACAATATAAAATTCACTGTGAAACACCAACAACATCACAAACTTTCATTTGTTGACACTTTGACTAACAACAATGGCAGTTTTCGTTGTGAAATATATCATGAAAAACATTTACTGAACTATATTCTAATTTTGCAAGTTTTATATCAAATTTATTTAAAGACAACTTTGTTAAGATTGTTTCATTGTCCATGCTCTCTGAAGGTTTTTATAAAGAATTCAGTAATGTCCAAATTCTATGGAAAACCATTTTTACATATCTGTTATTGATAGTATATTTAGTAATTATCTGAATAAGTACAGTTTTAGTAAATCATCTATATTTGAAGTTTATACACAAGTAAATTATTAAAAATTGATCACCAAATGTACTATGTAGGATGTATCCTCAAATATGGCTGAGATGTGTTTTTTAGATTTAAGGAGTGTTTCTGCATAAGTCAGTAAACATGGTTTATAAATTATTGTCCCTGTTATCAGCAAGACTATCTTGGATCCACTAAAAGAAAATATTGGATCTCTACTAAGTTGAGTGTACTTGAATTTATCCCAAGTGAATTTGATGTAGCCATTCATCCCGTTTATTTCAAGATCTCGGCAAGAACCAGTGATGAACAGTCTGTATTAAAGAACTTGTTCATTGACTAACTGAGGACAGAAATTAATTAAAAAGGATCAGCAAGCATATTATTTCTAATGTTATAAAATATTTGTCTATTCAAAATAATACTACTGTAAGAATCCTGTTTCACACAATGTAAGTGATGGTTTTTGATGGCAGAGTAACAAACAGTTTTTTCATCAATGAATAAATATAGCTATTTTAAATGCAGGAAGCTGCAACCTTTTCTAAGGAACAGAACTTGGGGGTGAGTATCATTCCTTGTATGTAGATACTGGTAAAGCCTTTATGTTTGTATTAGTAAAATCTCTGGAACTAGATATGGTTAGTCCAGTTTGAGTGAAGTTATATGTAGATTATTCTGTCTTTTTATAGATATATTTATAAAACTGATCATCATATGATAAAGTTTTAAGTATTGAGGTTTTAAACTAAGTAGATGTTAACAAATTATCACTTTTAACACTATGGAGCTTACCTTCATTTGCTTTTTTTAAATGGTTGTTATTGAATATTTTAACTTGGCACAAATTAACTTATAGCTATTCACAAAATTGGAAGAAATTGTCAAATACAGGTGTGTGTGACTATCTGTATGTATTGATATATAACATGCAATAATGGAAATACACACACACACACACACACACACACACACACACACACACACACACACACACACACACACACACACACACACACACACACACACACACACACACAGGAATTGTAAACAATTATTAATAGTATCTAGAAGGTGAATTTATTAATGCCGCAAAACTATCACACAAATGCAAAAGAAAGGAGAATAAGTGTGGGGAAATATGTTAATACTAAAAATATATATTTAATTTATGGACATCAATCTCATCACTGTTAAGATCTGTTAGTTCAGAGTATTCTAACTATCAAAAAAACATTAGGTATTAAGCAAGAAGTTTTTGATACAACAAAGTTTAGAACAGATTTACACAGCAACAATATAATAAAATGTACAATAGAACATGAAGCAGACATATTTAATATTAAGAAAATTATGAATAAAGGCTAAAGTACCACTATAAACACCTACATCCTTAAAAAATGAGGTAAAAACACTGGTAATCTGGAAATTAATAGATTAATGGCAAGAGAGACAAATTTGGTATTTAGTGTTGGGTAATCATTGAAAATGGAAAGGCTTTCTTTAGTAGTTTGTAATCTGTTCTGGATTAGAGAATTTAGAAGTTCTCTAGAAGGATGAAATGATTGTTATTCTCACTATGCAATCAGATACAAAACTGTATTAGTTAGTATATAGCCACTTTTTGCTGAAATTTCCATGTGCTCACATGTGCATGTTTGTAGGTAATGTGTATTTTTACCAATATAGGTTGCTTTAAAGCTACCACAAGTGTCATAAAATAACTATCGTGTGTAGCAGTTGGAAAACAAAAACCACAGTAAATGGAACAAACTGTTGGAAGTCTATTGGAGAAACTGTTTTGACATGAATGTCAAGACTTCCAGCTTGTTCTGTTACCACAAGTGCATTTATATGTGACACATGAGTGTACTGGGATGAATATTGTCTTTGGTTTTAAACAAGTTTGGAATTCTAAATGTTGATTTGATAAGTGACAACAGAGACAAATTGATGTTTAGTGTTGGGTATTCATTGAAAATGGAAATGCTTTTTTTTCTATTTCATACCTTGATCGCTTCTATTATTACTTATTACTAACTTATTTCTATGACCAATAAGTGTGAACTATTAACATATGATTGTACTATTTCAGTACACCATTTTTACACAAAGGGAGAGGCATTCTTATACAGTTTTACTTTAGCATTCCAGTACTTTAAGGATGGAGATTAAACAAATAATAATTCATAATTACAAAACTGTATAAAGCTCAATAAGCTATTGTGTAGAATTCAGTAGTATGGAAGGTGTTTAAAATTAATTTTTTTACAATTTCAGCTAACTTCTGTTAAAGAGATTGCTTTAAAGATTTGTGAGTTTCCCAAAGAAAACAAACTTAGGTCAAGAATGACTATAATAACTCAAGGTTCAAATCCAGTAATTGTTGCTTGTGGTGAGTAATTAATTTCATGACCCAGTTTTAGTGTAAAGAATAAAATGTAATTTTATGTACTTGTGCTAAAATCAATTTACAATAATTATGTCTATATTTGAGGTTTTTACATGGGTGAATGAAATCTGATTGGGGAAGTCAAGTTTGTAAACGAATAAATTAGTTTTAAGATGCTGAAGCATGAGAAAGAAAAAGTTGATTATAAACCAGAAAGTACTTTCACTTAACTTAAGCTTATTTATAGGCTGGAACTCTGTTTTTATTAAATCAAATATAATTGGATCTCTTTGTGTTTATTTTTTGTCACAGATGGTAAAGTAACAGAATATCCTGTAATAAACCTCAAAAATGAAGAAATAATTGACACAAATGGTGCTGGAGATGCATTTGTTGGTGGTAAGTTGAACTCTAGTTAACTTGTTAATTTTTTTTTTTTTATTATTATTATTATTATTATTATAAAATTGACACCATTAACTAAAGCTTAGAGATGGCTTGAATGGGTAATGTTACTTTATCACAAGTAAGAGATTTACAAAAGCTTGTCAAAACATTATATATTTGCTACTTGTAATAATTTCTTTTATTATCCATTCAAGCCATTTCCCAATTTTATTTTCTAAAAGTAGGTTCCTATTCATCAAATTTGACACCATTATGACTCATTAGTGTTTGTCCACTTACTAAAGTAACTAATTTCTAAGAATGTCATTTCAATCTACATACTGAAGTTTCATTCTGGTATTAAGAAAATAGTCTTTGCTATTAAGATGGTAGTGTCACAGAAATCCCCAATTTGATTGATTCAACTTAATGTTGTCACTGCTTTTAGAGTAATTGAATATCAATCCTTAATCTCTAGATGTTTTTAATAGGTTTTTTCTTTAAAATATGATCCACTAAAGAACAACAGATATATATGGGTACATTCTTATGTTTAATAATGAATGAAAAATTAACTTTTAAAGGGAAAGTTTTCTTGTATTAAAAAAAAACAAAAAAAACTTTAGTTAGCTCTGTTTTCACAGAGCTACTAATTTACAGGACCACTTAATGTTACCATTAACATCAAAATAAAACAACCACAACTTTTAAATATTTGGTCAATGATTTTATCCTGTTTCAGACATCTTAATACTATATTATAAGTAGGTGAAAAAACTCTTGAAGCCTCAACGCATATTTAAAGTCCATGTTGCCACACCTAGTCATTATCTGACAACCATGCATCTTAACAAAAGCCTACATCGTAAGGCTGTTATGTCCCAAGGCTCGCCATTTTTCCTTGAATGCTTTCTATAGTCCATCTAATATAGGAAGATGGTCTATCAGTGCTTATTTCAATGGTCACATTTTACAGAAATATGTAGATGCTGCATATAGAAACTTAAAGAATAATTCTTCGTATGGAATACCATGATTACCAGTTTCATTCTCCAGATGTTAGAAGTATGCAATGGTTGAACAGGAGATATGATTGGAAGCTTTTAATCTATGGACTCCTACCCTAATGGCCTCGTCTCTATTTAAAGTCTGCTTTCTGGTATGGAGTCCAGAACATTAGTCATTGGTCTGATAGTAAGCAGATTCACCTTACTCTTTGTATCCACTCTCTTGACACCTAATTTGCCCATAGCACAAAACCGGTTACTGTTATCCAGGTACACATACACTTAGTTAAGTGTTACTATATGCTACAGTTTTCCTCCAGCTAGATTCTGTTCCGAATTTTCTACAATTATTCTTTATTTCTTGTATATGTTGTAAAAGCAGCTTGTGTACACATGACTTGTCACTTCCTCAGATGGCGATAGTACTTGATTATGTTGCAGACTGTCAACTCGTACATGCAGAAAGTTTCTCCAAATGATCTTTGTGTTCATGGATTCCAAGTTATTAAGACTGCACTTTACTTACCATAACTAGGAATATGACTTGTTGCAGGTCCTGGTGTTTCAATTTGATCCATGTTTCTTAATTTTTCAATACTATTACAAACAATGGATAACCCAATCTGTACACATCTTTGTTATTGGAGGGTATGAATATTTTATGTCAGAAATGGCCGTTACCCTTCACAAAAGCGGTCAATTTTTGGAGGCATCATATTAAATATAAATTAACAAATGTTAATGTAGTTCTGAAACATGCCACCTCCTAATAAGTATGGAGTTTAATGAAAATTACTCTATTATATAGATATTACTAAAATTAAGCTTAATTTTTATAGCCTTCAATCTCCTTCAAAGTCAAATTCACTTGCAAAGCCCACCTGTCGCATCCTCTTTCATAAATTGGCAGTAAATCTCTAACATATAATGTTATCATTTATAACCAATATAAAGACAGTTTTAATTTATCACATAACATATTTTTAGTACAGAATCTTGTCTATTTTGTCTTCAGTTTCAAAGTTTCTCTCGGTGTTCAAATCGAGAAGCTTGTGGAATTATTTTAAAACTCTTATGCCATAGTTAAAGACAGTTAAAGGACATTGTTTGCTTTCTGCATGTTATTGTGCTTTTTAGTTGTATAACTTTAAATAAAAATTAATGTACTAGTACCATCAATTCACTGAGTGACTTAACTTGTGTGGCAGGATTATTGGTTAGACACAGTTCAAAGGGAAATAATATAATTAAGTAGAAACAAATGTAAACTTTAATGAGTCGTAAGCTATTTAAAATAAAGAAATGTAGTTTTCCATTATCACTTGCAATCGTTCTAGAAAGAAAAAAAATGTCTACTTCTTACTTGCACTCATCTCTAGGCTGACTATTCTTAATAAAAAAATAAATATGCCCTTCCCATAATCCATAGCTTGACCTACCAGACAACTTTTCCACCCTTAAGACCCATGAAAAGAAGGCTTACAATTAATGCATGGGAAAAGGTTTTGATAAAGATATTTATTGCAATACAAAGGCCAGCAGAAAGTTACTTTTTCCATGAAAATGTAAGAGATTATTGTTGGTGTGGAAAAGTTGCATTGAAGATCTTGTCTGACAGTCATTTTGTTTTGTTTTTAGGCTTTTTGGCAAAGTATATTCAAGGAAAACCTATTGATGTATGTGTGAAGTGTGGTGTATATGCTGCCACAGAGATTATCAAACAGTCAGGTTGTCAATTTCCCCAAGAAATTACTTTCAAAGAAAACTAACTTGCGGAGAAGAAACCTCTGAGATCCTGGATAATTTAGAAGAGTAAAGTTTTGTTTTTTTTATCAAATATAACCATGCAATTTCAAGCTGGAAGATGGCTTTGAATACTGGACTATTATGAAGTTGTGTTTTTTTTATATTTAGTGTGTGTGGGGGGGCATCTTAGTCTTTATTAGTTAGTTTTGAAAACTACAGTGTATTAATGAGTTTTATTTGTTGTTTTTTTTAGTACTTTTTACTAGTGTGAATTTGATATGAACATTTAACTTCTTCACTGCGGCAGCAGAATTCATTCTGTGTAGAACTTTTTTGGTAATTTTGTTATAATGTTGCAGTTATTGTCATATAGAACAATCATGTAGCCAGGTGTAGAAGTGTGTGGGGGGGGGGGTGTTTTGGGTCTAAAGTTGACGTCGTTTCATGTCTTACTTTAGTACCCAGGGACAAGAAAAATCTGAAATATGTAATGGTTCCTTTATTATCACTGCAAATAAACATTTCTAGTTAATTTGTTCTGATAAATATGAGCATGCTATTTCTGCATGTATGAAGTGTTACAAAAAGCAATCATATAATGAGAGGCGTCATCAAAGAAAGGAAAAAATAAATGTTAATAGGCAAGTGGAACTCAGGCTACAGGTTTGCAAATTTTATTTTACAGTAGAATCCTATGTTTCATGATGATAAATCCATCTTTTAGTTACAAATCATTTTAAGGTCTACTACTCTGTTATGTAATTTATTCATCTTGATGTATACATGCATACAAGACTCATGTAAAAGGTTCTCTGTAGTTAAGGTTGCTTGGGATAAGTATTTTAGATGTTCTAATATTCACTGCTTTGATTGTTTCTGGAAAGGTCTTTTGTACAAATTAAATTAGTACTTATCAGAGCAACCTAACCACTTAAATAATTTTTTTAAAACTCTATCTCTTAATGAGTACAACTAAGAAAGCACTGCTTTATGTTCTTACTTTTTATTATCATTTGGGTACCCTTGCTGTTAACAATATTTTTGCTTGTAAATTCATTATCTCATGATATTTGGCAAGCTTGTGAGACTTAAGTTTATCATAAATTCATATACTAAGCTAGCAATACAAACTAATATATATTTAATATTCTAATCAATACTATCAGTGAAAGTAACTTTAAAAGAACATTGGAGTACCCTAGTTATGGAACTCGTAAATACTAGTTGTTAGTTTCAAGTACTTTCATATTTAATGTTGGAGAAGCTCCAGGATTTATCCCAAAATTTCCCTGCAATGATTAAATGCATAGCCAAGGCAAATATGTGTGTGTGTGTGTGTGTGTGTGTGTGTGTGTGTGTGTGTGTGGTGAGAG